TTAGAACTCCTCCATGAAATGACTCCACCTCCCAAGGTAAACACATAACCTGAGGTTGACTTACTCTCGTCCCTATCTGACTGAAAATCAGAATCGCTGTAACCCAGCGGAGACCAACTGTCTGCACGGTAAACTAACATGTACTCCTTAGTCCTTCGCAAGTACTTGAGTATATGTTTCACCGCAGCCCAATGTTCCCTTCCTGGATTACTCTGATATCTCGCTACCATGCCAACGGCGTAGCTAATATCAGGCCTAGTGCACAGCATTGCATACATGAGACTTCCTACTGCCGAAGCTTAAGGAACTGTCTTCATGTCCTCTATCTCCTCAGTCGTCTTAGGAAAAAACTCCTTAGATAAAGGTACTCCGTGTCTGAAAGGTAATGTACCTCTCTTAGAGTTCCGCATACTGAATCTGGCCAAGACAGTATCTATATATGAAGACTGGGATAAGCACATCATTCTTTTTCTCACGATCACAAATGATCTTGATGCCAAGAATGTGTCCTGCTTCACCCAAGTCCTTCATATCAAACTGCTTAGACAACCAAGCCTTTACGTCCGACAACTCCTTCTTGTTGTTGCCAATAAGAAGTATGTCATCCACGTATAGCATAAGAAACACCACCACGCTTCCACTAATCTTCTTGTATACACAGTTCTCATCCGCACATTGGGTGAATCCATATGACTGGATTACCTCATCAAACCGAATATTCCAAGACCTTGAGGCTTGCTTCAGTCCATAAATGGACCGATTAAGCTTACAAACTAAGTGCTCATGCTCTTTTGCAATGAATCCTTCTGGTTGCTGCATATAGATATCTTCCTGAAGGTTCCCATTAAGGAAAGTCGTCTTAACATACATACATCTTCATATTATGCCCAGTTTGTAATTTGAATATTTTATCCATTAACCTTTGATATGTTGCTCCCACATTCTTAAATCCGAAAGGCATGACGAGATAGCAATACGTCCATTTGCTCGTCACAAAATTCACTTTTCTTTGATCTTCTAGTGTTAGGGGAATTTAGTGGTACCCCTAGGATGCGTCCATCATGCTTAACAACTCGCAGCCAGCCGTGGAGTCGACTAGCTGATCGATTTTTTGCAATTTAGTGGTACCCCTAGGATGCGTCCATCATGCTTAACAACTCGCAGCCAGCCGTGGAGTCGACTAGCTGATCGATTTTTTGCAATGGGTAGTGAACTTTTGGACACGCCAAGTTCAAGTCTCAAAAGTCGATGCACATGCGCCATTTGTCTAACGCTTTCCTCACCATTAGCGTGTTGGATATCAATTCCGGGAGTTGGATATCCTTGATGTGGTTTGCCTTCAACACCTTATCCACCTCTACGTCAATGACTTTTTCTATCTCCGCTTTATGGTGTCTAAGTTGTTGCTTCACTGGTTTTCTCAGAGGGTCGACATTGAGTTTGTGCTCCATGATCTCTAAGTCTATCCCCATCAGCTCTTCTGGAAAGAAGGCAAATATATTTCTAAATTCTTTCAACAACCCCACCAGTTGTTCTCTCAACTCGTCCCTCAACTCCTTCCCCACTTTCGTGATTTGATCCTCCATCTCTCTGATATGGATTTCCATCAACTCCACATGCGGCTCGAGTTCGCTTACTCTCGCACTCTTATCACCCGACATAGGTTTCTTGCTTTCTCTTACCTCGGCTCGTTTGTCATTTTACCGCTATCTGATAACAAGTTATCGATAGCTTCTGGTCTCCTAGAGCCTCTCCTAATCGATCTCTAACCGAGAACTTCAAGTTCATGTGGTAAGTAGACACCATGTCTAGGAAAGCATTAAGTGTCGGTCTCTCCAGGATCACATTGTAGGCCGACTCGACATCCACCACCATGAATCTAATCTTTTTCACCTTTCTGAAGTCGCCTTCCCCCAAGACTACCGCTAACATTGTTTCACCAAGGGGTGTTACTTCTGACCCAT